TTACAATTATAGCAAAAGTGTGTTTCGTTGCAGCAAAGCGTGAATTTTAGTAAAACGTATAGCTTTGATCTTTAGCAAATTTTAAGTGTTTGAGGACCTCATTTTTGACCAATCTTCATTCCTAACAATTGCAAAACGTTAATGTTGAGGAAAAATGAGCTAAAAGAGGATTGGAGAAGCTTAGATTTAGTAAAAAATTAAGGGTTTAGCCTAAGATTACTCCAATTAAGCATTTTCTTCTCCCTCTCCTATTTATTTTGATGTGTGTGTATTACTAATATATGATGTCATTAGAGTCATGTGTGGTTGATTTTTTTCTTAATTCGGGATAGTTATGAATTGATTATTGGATTGAAGCATGTTTGAATCATTCATTTGAGTTTAATATTAGTTTTGTTTACTTAATCTTGTACTTATTTATCTATTTAACACTTGGCTATCATAAAGTGTGAATTTGGGGTTTGGTTTTGCCTTGGAAAAAGAAAATCTAAATTAGAGTATTAGATCGAGTAATGTAAGATTAAAATTTATTTTAATTTTCTAATATGATAAAAATATACTTTTTAGACCCATATAAGCACATTAGAATGGATGTATGCTTTTTTCCTCTTGAGTATTCCTATTAAGAATATCATATTTAATTCAAGAGAGAAATGTAATTTATTGAAAGATAACTATTCTTATTAATATTCTATATTACCAAATTAATATTAAGTATATTAAATTGGGTAATTACATACTCTGTAAATTGAAGAAGAGATTAGCTACTATGGTTATCTTGATTATTTGTAGTTATCGAAACTTTAATTTTAGTACATTTGAATAATTTCAATTTCTTATTTTGTGAAATCAAATTCAAATTTTATTTTCCTTAACTTAAATAAGAATGGAAAATTTATTGTGTAATTATTAATTAATTTGACTCTCTATGAAAACGACATTAATTTATCATGTAGTATTTCTATGACTCATACATTTGCCAAATTCATTACATATTCGTGTGCACAAATTAGGAGAGGTTAACACAATGTCAGAAAACCCTCCATTAATGGATGCTTAAAGCATGCTCTCGGTTTTCGCTGGAGGTGGACGAAATGTTGAGGGAGTATATGTATATGTTAATTGGGTTGTTTTTTCTTTTCTTTTTTTTTTCTTTCTAGTTCCATTCTCTTTCCCTTTTCTTTTAACCATGAATTTGAATTTGCTTTATGTATAATTTTATTTTTTTACTCAAATAATATCATGGTCTTATAACTTCTCTTCTATGATTTTATATAAATAGTCAATACTCTCTAGAAATTAAAGGAATAAGCTTTGGTGTGTATTCTTCTCTCTCAGCTTAAGTTTTTCATAATATTTTCCTAGACTATAATCTCTTAGTGGGAGGATATAATTTAAATATTTTTATTTAATCCCACTCATAATTATAATAATTTTTTTAAATGATATGGTTGGAATTATACTCTTAAAATTGAACCCATCTTGGATAAATTATCTTACTTTAAACAATTACGTGATGAATTTTAATCGTATCAAATTCAAATCAATATTAAAAAATATTTTCTACTTTAAATTTACTTGATAAATCAATTTTTGACATTACTTAAATTTTAAAAATAAAATTAAGATATTTTTGCACAAGATCTTCATATTCCCATCTTTCTCCAGCACCGGTCTTATGTGATAATTAGTTCACTTTTCATATTACCGCTAACCTTACTTTTCACGATCGCATTAAGCACATCAAGCTAAATTGTTCTCTAGTTTGTGATATGCGTCAAACTGGCATCATCCATTTGCTTCATATTTGCTCTAAGTATCAAATTGTCGACATCTACATCAATCCTATCAAAGTTGGTCCCTTCAATGATCTTTTGTCCAAGCTAATTATGTGTGACATACATTTTCCAGCTTATGGAATGTAGCATATGAAGATATTATATTTTTAATTGTATACTATTCTATATAATTAAAGCGGTTATAACTATTTTATTTTCTATTATTATTTATTCTTTAATAGATCTTTTTTTCTTACATAAATATATCTCATGTTGAAATTAACAAGACATGTTACTATTTTCACATATTGTATTAATTCAGCATATTATATTACTAGTCAAAATTCGATTATTGTCTAATCAAAATAAAAACTTTTCAATCTTATGTTTCAGTCTGCCTAGATTGACCTATTTAAAAGTTGTCAAATTCATTTTATTTGTTCTAGTTATATGTGTATAAGAACTGTGTGGAGAGTGTATAAGTTTTGGATCGATAAGGTTTGATTTTCTCACATCCCACTTTTTGAAAGTGCATTTTTTAATTTTAAAAAGTGAAATATTATTTGGATATTATATTTTATCCCAAATTAACTTTTGAGAAGTATTTTTTGAATGTTCTTGAATGTAAATTTGGTGGAAGTCATGGGATGAAGCTTTTGAAATGTGATCCTCCTAATTTTTGATATGATCATGCTACCTTAAAATTTTCAATAACTTTTTTACTTTTAACCTTCCTTTCTATTTTTTCACTCTTGGGACTATCTTTGTATAATTATTTTTCATTTTATTTTTAATATTTAGACCAAATAAATCTAAACAGCCAAGGATCAAGGAATTCAATCAAAATTATGTTAAAATATGTTTTTTTGGGAAAATATCAAGATGAACTTCATTTTTTTTTTAAAAAATCATTTACCACACTAAACATTTACAAGGCTTTAAAAAATATATTTAAAATTTTTATCATATATTTTTCAAATATTTATAATATATTATATTTGTATAATGAAAATTTTAAATCATCATAAATCATTGTCATTTTTAATAATTTTACATTCAAAAGTATTTTTTTATTATATATAGCCCAAACAACTTTCAGTTCACTAATTAACTTATAAAAACGTGTATTCAAATCTAAATTTTATTAAATAAAATTTTGACAAATTAATTTTTAGCCAACCAAAAAATCAAAGCACCTTTTTTTGTTTCATGAATGAGGTGACGAAGGTGCAAAGTCTGACTAGTCTTCGCTTCAAGCAACTGAGATCTGAGATTGACTGTTTGTTATTGGCCCAATTCTTCAAACTGGGCCGAGCCCATTAAAACATCCATCCGGCCCCAGTGTCAAACGTAGCCAGAGTTTGTCCTCATTCAGCTTGTTTACAGACAATAGTTATGACTTATGAGGAAATTCTTTTTGAGCATGACAATTTTACGGGGGAATTATGTCGCATGTTAGTGGCTCAGTGCCACAATAGCATGAAACACTTTTTCGGATTATTGGTTCTACCTTTAGAAATGTGTACGAATATGAATGTGTGAGTTTTCTTTCTTCGTATAAAAGAATTGCAATGGGTATGTGAAATTTTTTTAAAGAAAAAGTAACAAAATTTATTTCAAAATTTGTGTAACACACTGAAAATTACAATAAAAACTAGTGTTCCATCCAATGCGATGCACAAAAAATTTATCGTGTCTTTTGAATTCTTATAATTGATAAATATTTTAATGTGATTGCTCGCCATTTTTGTGTGTGATAAACATAAAGTATCATTTTGTCTTAAAAAGATGAACTTGAAGTATCATTAATGACATTGGTTATACAATTAAGAATTATGTGAATATATTATAGAGATAACGATGATGATAATTTGATGATTTATTGGGCATTATGATGTAATTCTTGACTAACAAACTAGTTTAACAACTTTAAGATGAGCCAAACAGAGATCCCACTAATTCATAAGAGGAGGAGCACAATATCTATAAACCAAGCAAATGGGATTAGTGATAATGAAGCATTGCGAAAATTATTTTATGGAAATATTAATTGATCCATCACCTGAATGGTTTTTCATTTTTTGAACATGACAAAATGTGTCTCAAATGTCACACAAAGCTCATCATTGCAAATAATTTTGCTCTTGTTGATGGAATCCTGGAGATTGTTCTTCCTCATGTGTGCCCATAGTTGCTTCACAATCAAAGCACGACCATATCACTAATTAGTAATATTACTAGAAACACATAAAAATAAATGAAGCTAATGATAAACTTTAAAAGTATCATACAATTCAGGAGAGAGTTAAATTAGATTGAGATTTTGTCAATTCATAAAAAATAAGTTTTATTTAATCCAACCCACATGTTTGGATTGACTCATATTTATAGCTTGAACTGGTCCAACACTAGCACATTACGTTAGGTCATGAGCATAATTATGTTGGAGCTTCTCATTTAAGCTTTCAATTAAGAGATATTAACCATTAGATTATGATATTGTATTGTTGAAGGGGAGGTACAAATTATCTCTCTCTTAAAAAATAAACAAATGTCTTTATCTCAACATTATTAAATTATGATCTCATGGGAATATCCTAGACTCAATTGAGAAATTCAAATTCATCTTATCCGAAGTTTTCAAGAATCCAAGCATCTTGTAATACTGCCTTTTCACTTTGTGTCTTTTAAGTCATGAGCCAAATGGTTTTTATCATATTCATTTTTTTATCATTATGAAAATTACAATAAAAATGATATATGATAAAAAGTTGGAAAAGTAAGCAAATTAGTTATCAAATTATAAGTTAAAGAGCGTATGAGATCCTAAATTTATTATTCCCTTCAATTTTTAAAAATAATACAATTTAGTCCCTACACTTAAATAAAAGTTAATTTGACCTCCACTTAACCGACAAATAATAGAAAAGAATTTTAAAAATCATAAAAAATATCAATATAACTTTTTTAATTCTTTTAAATAATATTTTGAATATTTTTTGTAATTTTTAATTTTTTTACTATAAATTTTTTTATTATATTTTATATTTTAAATTTTTTTATATCATTTTCTAAGTCAATTAAGTGAAATTAACTTTTATTTACTACATCAAAGATTGGAGGGACAGAAAACAGAAGTTCTTGCGGGGCCCAATTTACCCTTTTTACTCCAAAAAAATTTTAACATGGCTAAGATACAAGGCGCGTGTTGCTCGCATTAGCTCATGAGCGGTGTGCAGCATATGAATAGTTGAATGATCAATTGATCATCAGATTCATCACTTCTATCTTCTCAGTGGTCGGATTTCCACATTCACAAGGAAACAATTTTGTAGACGACAATATCACAAGACAAGCCAGTAACTAGTGGAGCCTAGAGGTAAACTCTGTGATTCCTGCCTCTTCCAATGGATACCCTTTCACTAAAATCCCACTTCCTTCTCGCAAACCCGTTATTACTTACTAAATCTTCTTCGTCTTCTTCACTTTATCCTTTTCAGCAGGCTCGCATTTTCGTCCCACTTCAACAGAAACCCAGAAATACCTTCAGATTGAAGATGTCCCTGCCCGCACAAAACCCATGTGAGTATGCAAGTCTTTTTTTCCCCCTCCTCAAAAATGGTCAGCAAAAAATCATGTTCTGCGGCAAAAATCTATCTCATAGAACTGATAGCGACGATCCAGAAATTTGAATTAGGTTTGTTTGGGTCGACTTTGGTAGTCCAAATATTCTCATCGTACATGCTTCAAGACCAAAATCAACAAGTAACTCCAAAACTCATCTAGTTTCTAACTTTCTATTTGCTTTCCTAGCTATCCTGAATATAGATAGTTGCCAATTTTTGTTTAGAGTTCATGTTATGCTTATAATACCATGATCATCCTTCTGTTTGCGCGTCAATGGTGGCGTATGGTAGTTCGATGTTTTCCCTTACTGTTTCAAGCTTCTCGCTAAAATTCTGTTGTTCCTTTAGATTTCGTTTCAGAGCATCCTTTAGTTTCTCTTTCTCAAAGCATCAAGACCAAATGATTGTGGATTTTTCAACAATTACGACGGAAATTGATGTCGATCTGTTAATTGCTTTTTCAGCTGTTCACCAGCAGAAGGTCGTTATACCAAACAAGCATGGTGAAAAGCTAGTTGGAACATTACACGAATCTGGAACTACGGACATCGTAATCTTGTGCCATGGATTTCGATCCACAAAAGTTAGTTTGCCTGATATATGAAGCCTTTTCTACAATTCCTATGTAAACGCGCGTAACATCTGATACCAAAAACATAAATGCCGTCAATCAATCTCATTTGTCATATTTTTCCCATATCCAGGAAACTGATGTCATACAAAACCTTGCTGCTGCATTGGAAAACGCACGAATAAGTTCTTTCCGCTTTGACTTCTCTGGAAATGGGTAAGTTTAGGGTATTATGTATCAACATATTCACCTTTAAAGTATGCAAATAAATAGTAGCTTTACTTTCTGTTGTAACAGTGATGTGACACACACTCACACACACTAACACAGGGCTGAATAGAGAGAGAGTAGAGAAAGTCAGAAATAAAGAGGGAGAAAGGAAGAAGATGAAGAGCAGAATAGTGGGGGAGCAAGGGAGGGAGACAGACGCAGAGAGAGTGAGAGTGGGGGAGAGCTTCTGAAAGTCAATCACAGTAATTCATTCATTAGGTCTACATTACAAGAGCAAAGCCCAATCTATTTAAACTAAACTCCTGCCTCTTAAGGAAACCTTAATAACTTGGCTAGGTAAAGTTACTGTTCATATTTCCCTCTTTACAAAAGTATTAAACTAATACAAAAGTAACTTACTTTCTCCAAGATAGGTTTCTTACAAGCAAAATACAATGATAATAAGCTACTAGCCTATGTTTCTTCCTATAGGAGGTTTCTTCAAAATATATTAATTCTTATATTTCATCAAACAGTGTTTGAAGTTAAATGATAATCTGAAAAGGAGAAAAATGATTTTTCTTTCTGAAATTCAAGTTTCCCTTCTGCAAGGATACTTTTTCCTGGGAATTATTTCGAAAATGAATGAGTTTCGAAGTTGAGATTGAGATATTTGGAGGAGGTCCTAAAGATAACAATTATGAGTGGAAGGTGCCTTGAATATATTAAATTTTTTATGTGGAAGTTCTGATTAAAAATTTATCAACGGAGAACCCCAGTAGTTTTAAATTGTTAAATTTAAGTTCAAATTGAAAAAAAAAAAAGAAATTGTAAAGTTTGATAAACATAGTGTGATTATTTACTCTCATTATAGAAGTGTTAGAAAAACATGGGGTGGGGGGAATCTCAGGTTTTAAAACCACTAAAACATTATTGATGCTAATACAATGAGGGTCCTTGCAGTAATAATATGGTCCAAAATTATCAATGGCTCAATAACAAGAAATGTCTGATGTCTGCCCAGATGGTGATATCATCACATCAGCTATAATATCATTAACAAAAACATATTGGCAAATGCATGCTGCTGACGTGGAATTTAGATCTATAGTATCACAAGCTAGTTGCAGGTTTGGAATGTTATGCATTGGCCTGCAATATCAAAATTATAAGTTAATATTTGTTCATATATTCTCTTGGTCGTTTTGTTACTTGCATCTATAGGACTGTAAGTACGCTTTAGTTTGTCTAGTTATGCTTGAGTCTTGTGCTCTTGAATTTCTGATGCTTAAAAATTATTTTTTCTTCACCTTTTTTGTTGTTGTTTTTTGTACTAATGGTATATTCCTTATAGGGAAAGTGAAGGTTCGTTTCAGTATGGAAACTATTTGAGGGAAGTTGAAGATTTACATGCTGTAGCTCAACACTTCTGTGGACAAAAGCGAGTTGTCAGAGCAATTGTTGGGCATAGTAAAGGTGTGTTGGACTTGCCATAATTTCTCGAGTAATTTTACCAGCAAGGAAAGCTGAAAAAAGCTCTGCCATGGTGTAAGTGATGGTATACTTGGAATTTTCTCTTGAAAGTGATTTCTGATTAGCGTCATTTGGCTCTAATGTAGAATTTGCTAGTGATTTAACAAGATCAGATGAGAATGGTGTAATTTTTGACATAAAATTGGAAATAGCTTTCAGCTAATAGTAATTGTAAACTGGCTAAATCTTCTAGTATCATCCAAGTCGATATACTAAACTTTTGCTTGAATTACTGAGATACTTGGTAAAAATGCTGAAGTACGAATGTAGACTTCACTTTCTTCAGTGAACTATGTCAATAATAAAATTTGTATAATTAGAACAACGATGTAATTGGAATCTTATCACTTTCTATGCTGTTGAAGTCTAGCCTTCACCTACATCCATAGGAAGGAATGGAAGAATTAAGGTGCTTCATATTGTCTTGGTGACTCAGACAAAGGGTTATCATTTTTTTTAAAAGAAGACATGATTAATGACGATCTTCCCTTAAATTTACCATTGAGAACTATTATTATATAGGCATTGGTATGGCACAAATTTCTCTTATATTTCTTAAACTAGGCCTTTTATAGAAATAGGTAAGGTTAGTGATTGGCCCTACGCCACTAGGGTGGTTATTTGGATTCATCTACTTGAATTTGCTTTTTGGCAAAGAGAATTCTTACTTGTTGTTTCTTTACCTTGACACAGGAGGTGGTGTGGTGCTTCTGTATGCTTCAAAATATCACGACGTCAAAACAGTTGTCAACTGCTCTGGTCGCTATGATCTGAAGTCAGGCATTGAAGAACGCCTAGGAAAAGATTTTATGGAAAGAATCAAGAAGGACGGATTCATTGATGTGTACAAGTCAGGTGATCTCTCATCCAGTTTCGATTGAGCTTTAGTGCCTCCTTGGTGAAGGAGACTTGGTTAAGGGATGGCCCAATAAATTCAGGTTCCTTGATTACTTGTTTCTCTACATTGAACCTAAATGTTCAGATGCACTTGCTAAAATCAGCAAGTCCCGGACCTGAATGCATAACTCCAGCTCCCTCACCTTGCTAGGCCTCTGTTTGTTTTTGTGAGTGTAAAATAACAGAATAAAGTGGAAAAAAAAAAAGGAAAAGGATGTTTTTTTTTTTGGGGGGGGGGGAAGCGGTTGATATTTCCCAAGCAATAAGGATTTGTGCATGTACATTTCTTGAAAATGGACATGAGTTTAGATTGGCGTCAAAAAGGCATGATGACCATCATTGTTAATCAGGCACATGAAATGACAATAGCCGTCTGTTCGTTTCTCTCCAAACTGCACAGTCACAGGTGCTTGCATGCATCGATTTCATTAATCTTTGACCAGTTGAGAACATCTACTTCTGCAGGAAAATTTCTTTACCGGGTGACTGAGGAAAGTTTGATGGATCGGCTAAATACAAATATGCATGAAGCATGTCTCCAGATTGACAGTGGATGCAGGTGAGCGGGAAAAGAAATTGTGATGACTTCCTTTTCCTCCTATCATCAATTTGCCTCTTGCGTTTTTCTTTTGTTTTTTGTTTTCCAGTCAGTTTTGTCTTTATTCAAAGCTGAGCTGTGGCCTGTGGTGTTTTCATTGGTCAAGTTTTTCTAAAATACAGTGTCATATGTCTTGATATATTACAGGGTGTTTACAGTTCATGGTTCTGCTGATGAAATTGTGGGTGTTGAAAGTGCACACGAGTTTGCTCAGATAATACCCAACCACAAGTTACATATCATAGAAGGGGCTAATCATTCATTCACACAGCATCAAAATGAGCTTGCCTCTGTTGTGGATTTCATCAAGGAAGCCTTTCACCAAGACAATGTTCCTACCACCACTGGCACATGAACCACTTCATTTGTTTTAACCATTCTCTCTCTCTTTCTTAAATAAAATCAAACCAAAGACATGTCAAGAGCATATTGCTCAGCATAGATATCTGGGATAGATCCATGAAGAACAAAGTCACTGTTTCTGCAGTGAGCGTCCTTCGCTAGTCTATCAGCTCAAGTGAGCATATCTTTGGGTGAAAATTTGAGTTCATAGCCTTCAACAGTAGCTAGACGTAAATGGATTTCATTGATTATAGACTACGGTGGATGTTCAAGATTTCCATTTCTAAAGATCATATTAATCCGAATAGATGCTTACATGCGTGTGGTCATTCTGTTGGCAGATATGCAATCCTTGCTAGATGGTAAGAAGCTCAGCTTCCATACAGGCAGTGAATCCAAGCTTCTATTGGAACCATCTCTCTTTCTGATGGTAGAATGATGTGATATTGAGCTAGCTTCTGTTGTTGTGCCTGGTATATTTTGGAGTCTTGCATCTGTATGTTGAATGAGAGGGAATAGTGGGAGAATGATCTATATTTCATATTCCAACATGTTTTTGAGTTTAAAATTAAAATCACTGAAGACTTGAAATCATTGGAACTCATTTAATACCGAACCAGTAAGTCTCAAGCAGCACCTTATTAAATATTGAAGATTTAAGCTTCTTTGAGTTGTGCTTGGATTGATAAATTTAAATTTTATATTTAAAATTTTACATTTTAAATCCATATATTTAAAACTCTTTGTTTGGGTAATTTAAAAAATTTAAATTTAAATGAAAAGGAGATATAAACTAATATTTAAAATGAAAATAAAAAATAAAAAATGATGAGTTTATTTTTATTTTTTAATTGACAAGAGATATAAAAAGATATAGGAGTTATAAAGATATTAATAGTAAAAATATATGGATTTTAAATCAGTAGGGTGTAGAGAGAATTTGAACTTAAAAAAGAATTAAAATTGAGTTAATATACAATTTGGATAATAAATTATAGATCTAGGGGTGATTTAAACCTAAACTTGTACTTGATATATTTTGAACCTTAAATAATTAAATTTAGGACAATTTTACCTTCATTGTTAAATTAAAATAAACATTCATTATTTTTTTAAAAAAAATAAGGCTTGATGTGCAATTTTTTTCAAAAGAATATAGGAGAGAAATGATGAGTGAAATTTGATAAAAATTATACATTAGACCCAATTTTTTTTTAAAGGTAATGACATTTGTTTTAAGAAAAATTAATTTTTTAGTCTTTTAACTTGTATTTTACTTGTAACTTAGTTCATCAATTATAAATCGCTGTGACTTAATTCTTTAACTTTTGATTCACTTATAATTTAATTTTTATTTTTTAATTTTTTTTAAAAATTATCCTTATCAAATAAGAGGGATAAAAAAATTCTCATATCTTACTTTAAAATACCCTTCTCTTGCTTTTTGATATGAAATCTAAGTTAATATGAAAAAAGAGAACTAACAAAAATTGAGGAATTGAATTACAGTAAGTTATAATTGAGGAATTTGATTACAAGTGAGTTAAAATTTAAAGGACTAAAAAAACTAATTTTCTCTTTGTTTTATTTTAACGTTTGCCCCAAATTTAATTGTTTAGGATTCAGAATGTATCAAATATGAGTTTAGGGTTCAAATCGTTACTGAACTTATAATTCAGAATTTAAATTGTATATTAACCCGCCACAATTTGAAATGTTAAATCCAAATTCATAGACATTCAAATTAAGGATTTGATTCAAATCCAAATTCAAATACTTATTACTTCAATTTTTAGGGTATAAATAAATACATTCACTTTAAAATCAATTGTTATTGTTGCACCTAAAAAATGCAACGCGGAGGGCGTGCAAGCAAAGGTTCCGGCCTTCGCGGTGGAAACTGGCTGAACGAGGAGTCATCACCAAGATTTTGAGGTAAATCTTGAAAAACTGTTTAAAGGAGGATAAAGTTGGTCTGCGAAATTAGAGAATATGTTCGGGAGTCGGTTGAGTATAGGGAAGGTGTTAGGCACCCCATTACACTCGTTTGTCAGAACGGTTACCTGAAGTTTGTTGTGCTCTATTAATATGATTTTATAATTATTTTAATTATCCTTTTTATATTCATGTGTTTGATATAAAAATGATAAGAATTAGGTGAGAAATATTTATTTATTTATGAGGGAGGATTTGACTCAGAATTTGACTTTGAGGCCTACGTACCTTGTGACAGGGATCAAAGTCCACGTAGTTCAGGCTTGAAAGTTGTTGGTGAAAATATTTTTTTTGAAGAGAAATTAATTAGAAATAATTCACCCTTTTGCAAATAAAATAATTTTTAAAATTTTGATATGTGTGTTTTAAATTGCAAGAAGTAATTTAATTTTAATTTTTTTTAATTTTTAAATTTTGAGATAAAGAAAAGAAAAGGGTTTAAAATTATTTTATTATTATTATTTTTTTATATTTTATGATTGAAAATTTTAACTGCTATACTTACAGTACCTTATTAGTTTATACGGTAATGCAGTTGTTTTAAATATCTGCGGAGATTCTGAAATCTCACACAATAAAAAAATTTAACAATTTAATTTATTTATTTTTAAATGTTAGTAATAATTTATTTAAGCATGTATGTACATGTTTTTTAAAGAATTTTAATCATCATACCTGCATAGCCTTATTGGTTTATACGGTAATATGATTATCTTAAATATCTGTAAAGATTCTAAAATTTCACATGATAAAGAAATTAAATTTAAATATGTCTTTAATTTAATTAATTTAATATAATATGTGTATATATATATATATATATTTTAAAAACTTAATCATTATATCTGCAGAGTCTTATTGATTCATATGATAATACGATTATCTTAAAAGTCTACGGAGATTCCAAAATTTCACATGAGTAAAAGATATAATTGATAAATATGATTACAATTTAAATACATTAATTTGGTTAATCAATTTTCTAAATTGTGTATTATATGATTATTTAAAAATCATTTATTATATATATTGAGAACCATTGTATATGTGAGGACTTATTATTCTACACGATAATGTGATTAATTTAAGTCCCTATGAAGATTCTTGAAGTTTCATATGGAACTTAAATTATTTAGATTATAAAAGATAGTTAATTCTAATGATGGGCCATTGAAACCCATATTTATTATATAAATTGGATCTTTATACCTGTGAACTCTTATTGATTTGCACAATAAGAGATCATTTTTAATTGCCTAACTCTTATTGATTTGCACAATAAGAGATCATTTTTAATTGCCTACGACAACTCTTAGAATTTCACAAGACCCATAAATAAAACACGAATATATCTTCCCTTCTTGTTTTCTTTTTTTTCATCATTTTTTATAATCAAATTAGAGTATTTAAATTCACTAAACACATTACATTAAATTAAAATAACTATAAAATAATTCAACCTTAAATGCACATACACGATATATATCCTCACCATGTCAAGCGGGTAGTAAACAATTTGACACATTAGTTTAACAACATTTACTTATGTTGTGTCAAGAGTTCAAAAAGAATCACCAATCTTTAATATAATATATATGTATATATATCAATAGTACAACGAATCGCATAGTCATAGTATAGCAAGGTGTATTATTTATAACAGTAAGCAATTTATGTTGCACACGTGATCAATATCCACACAAATCATAAAATCTATAACGAGCCACATATTTATAATTCAAGAATGATAACGATGGGGCAATTAGATTTCATGTAATACATGGAAGAAGAAAAAACATGTTGAGTATAATGTAAGAATTAAAGAAGTGAGTAGATTATATTACTTGGAACAGTCAGTGTCGGCGAAGAAAGTAAAGGGGATAGAGATTAAGGCCTCAGGTCCTTCACCGCATCACTGCATGATATTACAGCCTCTGATGAACAGCTCCTTCCTCATCCTCTCAGCCTCTCTTTTTTTCCTAGCCAGAACAACTTCTTTCCTCGTCCTCACAGTTTCTCTTTGTCCTCTCGGTTTCTTAGTCGTTATATCAAATCACTACATGATATTACAGCCTCTGATGAACAGCTCCTTCCTCATCCTCTTAGCCTCTCTTTTTTTTCCAGCCAGAATAGCTCCTTCGGTCCCTCTCTCTTCGTCTCAGTCTCTTTCTCTCTCAGCCTCTGTTTCAGCTTCTAATCTCAGTCTCCTCCTCATTCGTCCTCGGTGCTCTGTTTTCGCATCCTATGACTATGGCATTTTCTTCTCTTTTCTCCCTTTCTGTCTTTGTTTATCTTTCTCTCCAGAATCCTCCTTCTTCATTTTTGTCTCGTCTCTCTGTCTTTCTCGTATCAGTCTTGGTCTTTTCTTTATTCTCTCAGCCTCTGTTTTTTTACCTCCTTCGGTCTCTCTCTCCTTGTCCTCCATTTTTTTCTTTCTCCTCTGCTTTTACGTTTAGCCTTATATAGAGAATGGAAGAGGTGAATCATTACTCTCCTACTCTGCTTCTTCCATTTTCCTTCTTTTTCGATGCATTTTCCGTGCGTGTGTGCTTCCTTTCTTCACTCGCGTGAATGATTCACCTCACCATCTGCTCTCTGCTCTATTTCTGCCTCCTCTGGTTGTGTATGTTCGTGCTTCCTTTTCTCTCTGCATCTGACTCTCTTTCCTTTGCGTGTGAGTGCTGCATTTCTGCTTCTTCTTCATCTCTGTGCATTTCCTTTGCATGTGCTCTATTCTCCCTGATCAGTGCCAAAAAGATAACTGATCCTTTGGGTTTTTCTCCACTTTTGCTGTAACGTGTGCATGAACGACCACCTCTGCGTTTTTTCTCTCCACGTTTTGCTGTAACGTGTGCATGAATGAAGGACCCAACTTACTTTATATATTTTAATTTTTAATAGCTCTTTTTTTTAAATTATGTTTATTAACTTCAAAAATTGGATTAAAGGACTTAAAAATTGATTTTAGATTAAAAAAATATTTTTAAAAATATAATCTTAAAAGGATTAATTTTTTTTGTATTTTTATATTTTTTGGTTATTTATTATTATTTTTATTAAAATTAAAAAAAAATATTCTGATAAAATATAGTGTTCACAGTTATACTCCTTGGCAGAGTTATTAAGAGTGCAGAGTGACTTATGTTGGCAAGAGAGAGATAAATTTTTAGTAAGTTCAATTTTTTTAAAAAAAAAGTAAGTGGGATTATAATTTTTTTTTTAAAAAAAGTAAGATACATTAACTTGGTACTTTATATGAAATTAAAAAATTAAATGTATACTTTAGCCAAAAGTGAATGCGTAGGAGGAAATGAAAGTTAAAAAAATTTTATCC